GCCCACTCTCATTCAGACACTACCTCCTGTGCCCCCCCCCCCTCCCCTGATTTGAGTTTGAGACCCTTGATCTAATGAATACTTTGGATTTTACCATTTTAATATAAAACTAATTTAAATTGCTTTACAATTTTTTTTAAAATTAGTATGGTAGGAGAAAATTATGTCGAGGGGAAATTAATGCAAAATATTATTTTTTTTAAACAGGGTCTCTAAAAAATTTGGTTCTAAAAGATCGCTTAATTTGTTTTTAAAGATCGTTTAGTTGGTTGTTATTGATCGGTTAGTTTCTTCTTAAAGATCGATGAGTTTGTTTATAAAGATCGCTTAGTTTGTTGTTAAAGACGGTTTAGATTGTTGTTAAAGTTTGTATTTAAAGATCGTTTAGTTTGTTGTTAAAGATCGCTTAGTTTGCTGTTGAAGATCGCTTAGTTTTTTCATAAAGATCGCTTAGTTTGTTCTTAAAGATAATTAATTTTATTCCTTAAGATCTATTAGTTTGTTCTTAAAGATCTTTTAATTTGTTCCGAAAGAACATTTAGTTTTCTGTTAAAGATCGCTTAGTTTATTCTTAAAAATCATTTAGTTTACTATTAAAGATCATTTGTTTTGTTCTTAAAGATCATTTCGTTCGGTCTAAAAAATCGTTTAGTTTGTTGTATAAGATCGTTTAGTTTGTTATTAAAGATCGCTTAGATTGTTCTTAAAGATCGCTTAGTTTGTTTTAAAGATCGTTTAGTTTGTTCTTAAATGTACCTTAGTTTGTTGTTAAATATTGTTTAGTTTGTTCTCAAAGATCGCTTAATTTTTTTCTTAAATGTCGCTTAGTTTGTTGTTAAATATCGCTTACGCTGAGTATTAAATGACCGAAAACCTTAGTCACTTTCGGCCAGATGGCCGAAAGTCTTAGTCAATTTCGGCCGAAACCGAAGAAAAACCGAAAGTTAACTTTTCTCTTTCGGCCGAAACCGAAATTAGGCCGAAAGTTAACTTTTCAGTTTCGGCCGAAACCAAAACTAGGCCGAATGTGATAAAATGGCCACTTTCGGCGCCGAAACCGAAGCCGAAGCCGAAATTCGGTCGGTCTCTAAACTCAAACACTCTTGGAACAGGATTTGCTGTCAAACAAGAAGCTCTCTGTGCAGTTATAGGTGTTAAACCAGAGAATGAACGATTGTGCCTTTTGCATGTTGGGGGGGGGGGG